TGAGACCCTGCAAACTAGGTCGTGGAACGCCAGCATGCCTCCTCACCAAGGAGCTTTTCAAAACTACCTTCTAAGAGGGCCTTCACGTGAGTCTTTTGATTAAAACCTAGGACTGGCTGGATAACAGACTACAGTTACAAAAATAGTAAGGGGGAAATTAAGAAATATTTACTATTTAACTCAATATAGGACCCAGCAATCTAGGCAAGTATAATTATGGATGTAAAAGTTCATATCACTAAACAGAAAATTATCAATGTTTTCTACACAGCAAATGAATAGGAAAATAAGGGTTAAATAAAATCAGGGGGCACTGAACTACATTCCACACATGCACGCCAAGCACGTCGGAACACAGCTGAGAGCGAGGCTGCTATTAAACAGTGACTATGTTCAAGGGGAAAATCAGTTTCATGAAAACCTGATGCATGACGTCCAAAAACTTCTGTACCTAAATGAAGAGAACTCCACCTTTCCTTGGAGACGAGTCAGTTATGCTTAGTGGCACGGTATGGAGTTCCTACAAGTCACAACACACCCAAAGGACTGGAACATTAATTATAACTGAAATGAATACCAAATAAAAGAACAGGTGAATCACGTGAAGACTTTGCAAACAATTCGGCACTAAGCGTAATATCAACAAAACTGGGGCCTGCGTTGTAGCATAGCTGGTTAAGCCGCTGCCTGAGATGCCAGCATCCCATACTGGCACAGTTCCTGTCCAGGCTGCTCCACTTCCACCCCAACTCCCTGCTCATGTGCCTGGGAAAGCAGCAGCAGATGTCCCAAGTGTTTAGGCCCCTGCTACCCATGTGGGAGACCTGGATGAAGCTCCTGGCTTCAGCCTGGCTCAGCCATGGCCATTGCAGCCACTTGGGAATTGAACCAGCGGATGAAGCTCGCTCTGTCTCTCCCTCTCTTTCTTTCAAATACATAAATCAATCTTTTAAAATACGTATAAACAAAATCCCAATACTCATTTAAGAAAGAAAAAAAAAAAAAAAACCTGGGAATTTTCTAGACTCTGATCATCTGACTCAGAATCAAAGCCGTCAAGTGACCAGAGCAGGGACTAACTCTGCAAAGTAAACAGAGAACTTGTATTCGGTTAAGAGGCCTACCAACTGCCTGGGTGAGCTGCATTTCCATTAAGCTGTGAAATACAAGGAATATGGAATGGAAAACGATCATTCTTCTTGCCTACGCTTTTAAATACTGTTGTAAAACCTGCCGAAATCAACTGTCCTTGACTACTTCATGTCCGGTGTGACCTCCACGACTCACTCTGCAACCTGGACAATGACGACCTGCTGTGTTCTGATGATTACAGAGCTTTACAGAAGGCTAAGGCACACCAAAAAAAGCCGAAACTACCACACTGTGCCTTGGCATATACTCAAATTGGGCTCTAAGAAAGATTCCTGAATTCATATTAAAATTTTCATAAAAAAAAAATCCCAGCTGTCAGTACGCCAGCTGGAAATGGGATCAAGCCACCAAATTAAGCTCCTTCCCCAACACCAGCCCAGCCTCTCCCTTTTCTTCAAAAAATCATAAATCGTAAAGCCGAGAACTTAGTCACAACAACAAGAACAGCACACTCTGAACTTCCACCCTGCAGAGGAGCTCACGGCAGCCTGGTCCCCTCCAGGTCTCTCTCCCATCCTGCTCTCCCTCTGCTGACTGTCCCTTCCTGTCTATCGCCCCAACCCCAATCTTCCCATCTCTCTGATTTCCTGTCTCTGTGTCTCTCTCCTGTCCCTCTGCCTCCCCTCTCAGTCCACCTCCTGTCTCCTGTCCCCTCAGCTGTCTGCCTCCTTCCTTCCCTCCACAGTCACCCCCACTCCCCCATCTGTCTCCTCCCCCAAGTGTGTCACCCCCACTCCCCCATCTGTCTCCTCCCCCAAGTGTCACCCCCACTCCCCCATCTGTCTCCTCCCCCAAGTGTGTCACCCCCACTCCCCCATCTGTCTCCTCCCCCAAGTGTCACCCCCACTCCCCCATCTGTCTCCTCCCCCAAGTGTGTCACCCCCACTCCCCCATCTGTCTCCTCCCCCAGTGTGTCACCCCCACTCCCCCATCTGTCTCCACCCCCAAGTGTCACCCCCACTCCCCCATCTGTCTCCTCCCCCAAGTGTGTCACCCCCCACTCCCCCATCCGTCTCCACCCCCAAGTGCCACCCCCACTCCCCCATCTGTCTCCTCCCCCAAGTGTGTCACCCCCACTCCCCCATCCGTCTCCACCCCCAAGTGTCACTCCCACTCCCCCATCTGTCTCCTCCCCCAAGTGTGTCACCCCCACTCCCCCATCTGTCTCCTCCCCCAAGTGTCACCCCCACTCCCCCATCTGTCTCCACCCCCAAGTGTCACCCCCACTCCCCCATCTGTCTCCTCCCCCAAGTGTGTCACCCCCACTCCCCCATCCGTCTCCACCCCCAAGTGTCACCCCCACTCCCCCATCTGTCTCCTCCCCCAAGTGTGTCACCCCCACTCCCCCATCCGTCTCCACCCCCAAGTGTCACTCCCACTCCCCCATCCGTCTCCTCCCCCAAGTGTGTCACCCCCACTCCCCCATCTGTCTCCTCCCCCAAGTGTCACCCCCACTCCCCCATCTGTCTCCACCCCCAAGTGTCACCCCCACTCCCCCATCTGTCTCCTCCCCCAAGTGTGTCACCCCCACTCCCCCATCCGTCTCCACCCCCAAGTGTCACCCCCACTCCCCCATCCGTCTCCACCCCCAAGTGTGTCACCCCCACTCCCCCATCTGTCTCCTCCCCCAAGTGTCACCCCCACTCCCCCATCTGTCTCCACCCCCAAGTGTCACCCCCCACTCCCCCATCTGTCTCCTCCCCCAAGTGTGTCACCCCCACTCCCCCATCTATCTCCTCCCCCCAAGTGTCACCCCCACTCCCCCATCCGTCTCCTCCCCCAAGTGTGTCACCCCCACTCCCCCATCTGTCTCCTCCCCCAAGTGTCACCCCCACTCCCCCATCTGTCTCCTCCCCCAAGTGTGACACCCCCACTCCATCTGTCTCCTCCCCCAAGTGTGTCACCCCCACTCCCCCATCTGTCTCCTCCCCCAAGTGTGTCACCCCCACTCCCCCATCTGTCTCCTCCCCCAAGTGTGACACCCCCACTCCATCTGTCTCCTCCCCCAAGTGTCACCCCCACTCCCCCATCTGTCTCCTCCCCCAAGTGTCACCCCCACTCCCCCATCCGTCTCCTCCCCCAAGTGTGTCACCCCCACTCCCCCATCTGTCTCCTCCCCAAGTGTCACCCCCACTCCCCCATCCGTCTCCTCCCCCAAGTGTGTCACCCCCACTCCCCCATCTGTCTCCACCCCCAAGTGTCACCCCCACTCCCCCATCTGTCTCCACCCCCAAGGTGTCACCCCCACTCCCCCATCTGTCTCCTCCCCCAAGTGTGTCACCCCCACTCCCCCATCTGTCTCCTCCCCCAAGTGTGACACCCCCACTCCCATCTGTCTCCACCCCCAAGTGTCACCCCCACTCCCCCATCTGTCTCCTCCCAAGTGTGTCACCACTCTCCATCTGTCTCTCCTCCCCCAGTGTGACACCCCCAGCCTCCCCCATCTGTCTCCTCCCAAGTGTGTCCCCCCACCCCCCCATCTGTTTCCTCCCAAGTGTGTCACCCCCACTCCCCCCCATCTGTCTCTCCTCCCCCAAGTGTGACACCCCCAGTCTCCCCCATCTGTCTCCTCCCAAGTGTGTCACCCCCATTCTCCCATCTGTTTCCTCCCCCACGTGTTACCCCCACTCTCCCCTGTCTCCTGTCCCAAGTGTGTAACCCCCACTCTCCCCCATCTGTCTCCTCTCCTCCCCCAAGTGTGTCACCCCACTCTCCCCATCTGTCTCCTCTCCCCCCCAGTCTGTCGCTCCCACTCTCCCCCATCTGTCTGTCTCCTCTCCCCCCAATATCGCCCCCACTCTCCCCATCTGTCTCCTCTCCCCCAAGTCTGTCGCCTCCGCTCTCCCCCATCTATCTGTCTCCTCTCCCCCCAGTCTCAGCCCCACTCTCCTCCATCTGTCTGTCTCCACTCTCCCCCATCTGTCTGTCTCCTCTCCCCCCACTCTCCCCATCTGTCTCCTCTCCCCCCAGTCTCGCCCCCATCTGTCTCCTCCCAAACCTGTCTCCCCCACTCTCCCCATCTGTCTCCTCTCCCCATCTGTCTCCTCTACCCCCAGTCTCACCCCCACTGTCCCCGTCTGTCTCCTCTCTCCCCCAGTCTCGCCCCACTTTCCCCCATCTGTCTGTCTCCTCTCCCCCCACTCTCCCCATCTGTCTCTTCTCCCACTGAGTCTCGCCCCACTTGCCCCATCTGTCTGTCTCCTCTCCCCCCCAATCTGTTGTCCCCACTCCCCCATCTGTCTCCTCTCTCCCTCAGTCTCGCCCCCACTCTCCCATCTGTCTCCTCTCCCCCCAGTCTCCCCCCATCTGTCTCCTCCCCAAGCCTGTCTCCCCCACTCTCCCCATCTGTCTCCTCTACCCCCAATCTCACCCCCACTGTCCCCGTCTGCCTCCTCTCTCCCCCAGTCTCGCCCCCACTTTCCCCCATCTGTCTCCTCTCCCCCCACGTCTGTCTCCTCTCCCTCCAATCTCGCCCCCACTCTCCCCATCTGTCTCCTTTTTCCCCCCAGTCTCGCCCCCACTCTCCCCATCTGTGTCCTCTCCCCCTAGTTTTCGCCCCCATCTGTCTGTCTCCTCTCCCCCCACGTCTGTCTCCTCTCCCTCCAGTCTCGCCCCCACTCTCCCCATCTGTGTCCTCTCCCCCCAGTCTCGCCCCCATCTGTCTCCTCTCCCCCCACGTCTGTCTCCTCTCCCTCCAGTCTCGCCCCCACTCTCCCCATCTGTGTCCTCTCCCCCCACGTCTGTCTCCTCTCCCTCCAGTCTCGCCCCCACTCTCCCCATCTGTGTCCTCTCCCCCCAGTCTCGCCCCCATCTGTCTGTCTTCTCTCCCCTCACGTCTGTCTCCTCTCCCTCCGGTCTCGCCCCCACTCTCCCCAATCTGTCTGTCTCCTCTCCCCCCAATCTGTCGCCCCCACAACTCTGTCTCCTCTCCTCTCTGGCAGGCCGGCATGTCCCTGCCCCCGTCCATCTTCGGCCCGCGTCCCGCGCGGGGCCCGGCTGGGCCGAAGCTGTCACCCTGCGGGCGCCTGGAGCGCAGGGCCGCGGCGGAGTGCGGGAGTGCGGGGCCGGGGCCGTGCCCGCCGCCCGGCCCCGAGTCAGGAAACAGCCCGAGCGCGCGGCGGCCGTGATTCAGCAGCGGGGCCGGGCCCAGCCGAGTCCGGAAAAGGTCACCGCGACGCCGCGGCGGCGGCCGAGCCCGGACCCGCCCCGCGAGCCGGCGGCGGCGGGCGCGGCGCCGGGGCCGGCGGGCTCCTACCTTTGCGGCTCTTCGGGGAGCTCCGCTTGCTCCGGGCGCTGGCTCGCTCTTCCTCAATCGCAGCTGCTATCTCGGGGTTGTCTTCCCCATTGTACCAGACCAGCAGCTCCTCGCCCGGCGCGATTGGCTGCGGAGAGAGAAGAGACAAGCACCGGGCCAATCAGAGCGGCGGTTGTTGGCGGGGGCGGGGCGCCGCGGCGGCGGCCGGGCGGCCGGGCGCGGCGCGCCGACGGCAAACAGCTGTGGGCGCCGCGGCGGCCGGCGCGCTCCGGGCCGTGGCGCCGCCGCGCAGGCCCCTCTGCTGGACGGAGGACCGCACGGCGGGTGCGGACGCAGGCGGCGACAGCGCTGGCCACGTACGCCCACGACGCCCCACGCCTAGGCAACCCGAGCCGGGAGGCGTCCGGCCGCGCGAGGCCCGCGCCCTCGCCGCGAACGCGCCGCCCGGCAGCCTGCAGACCCCGGCAGACCCCGGCAGGGCCCAGGGGCGCCGAGGGAGGAGGACCTGGCCGGGCAGGCCCCTGCCCACGCGGGGAAACAGCCTGGCCCCGCTCAGGATGACGCCTCCGTGTGCACAGCGGCGGGGGATCCGGGTCGGTAGCATCCAGCCGAGACCCACTAGGGTCGCGTGCGCGTCCGCGCAGGTGGGCGAACTTGTCAGCCCGTGGAAAGCAGAGTTCTAGGCGCAGACCCCAGCTGACCAGTGAGAAGGAACCCCACCCCACCCCCCGCAGCCGGCTCAGCTGTGCGAGGCTCAGCAGGAACCCACAGGCGAATGTTTGCATAGTCTCAAAATATCCCCGCATGAAACACGTGTTAATTACAAAGAACAGGAGAGACACAGCACCGGGAGCCTGCGGACTCCATCAGAACACAGGAGGAGCCTTCCCTAAGAAAACAAAAGACAAAGACTAAGGTCCCCCAACCCAGGAGGCTGGCTGAGACCCGGGTGTCGCTTCCTGGTCCGCGGACGCGGCTGGAACGGAAGAGCAGGAGCCAGAGCGAGGAGTACAGATTAGGAAGAGACCACGGGGCTGGCCTCGGCTCCGGACTCGGATCACCGCAGTCTGATCCTGTCGGGAGCAGGGGCAAAGCCCCCCGGAGATGCCGCTTTAGGACCTAGCTCTTCCTTCCAGGGAGACAGAGCCGGTGCTGCAGAACTCCCACCTGGCCCCACAGAGCATTCCTGATGATCTCACATGTTAACAAGTCACTTTCCTTTGCTCCCCCGAGGATGGCCAAAAGCTGCCATTTGCTCATCTTTGAACAAATACGTTCCCTTCATAACTCAGTTAAACATAAAAAAAATCATGATATTAATGGGCTAAAATAGCCATGTGTCACTCTGATGAAAAAACAGATTTTTGCTCTAAGACACGTTTATGAAATGGTGGTAATCAATGTTGGACATGTCGAGCGTTCTCAGAAGTATGTGAAGTCTTAAATGAAGCCAAATAAGAAAAGGAAAACGTGGGGAGTCAGGACGAATGCAGTCCCAATTCATTCCCAGTCCAAGAAGCGCACCCGGAGACTGGTTAGGAGACAGCATGGGACTTAGGTCTCCGTGTGCCCGCTCCGCATTCAGCCGTGCAGTGCTGACGGTGCCGGCGGCCTGCTGAAGCCCAGCATCAGCACACACGCCGCTCAGGAGGGCCCACTGGGTTGCTGCTAAGTGCACAATAAGAAAACACCAGAATCTTCCTGCTTCACAAATCTAACGTCAAGTTTCTAGCAGGCCAATGGGCTGACGAAGCAGCAACAGGCAAGAGGCACCTGACTTCAACTTTACACTGAGACAGCTACAAATAACTGACCCTTCAAAAGAAAAACCAGTCTTTTCAATCAAGGACTTGCTTCCATATTGCTCTCTTTTCTGTTTAGCATTCTTAAGGTTTCTCACATGGAATTTCGGGAGGGAAATCATGTCCTTAAATAAAGGAAATATACGTCTACATTTAAAATAAAAGACTAAACCACCTTTTTTGCATATACAGGTGTAATAATGTGCCACTTAAAGAAGGGGCAGGTGCTGAGACAGGCGTGCCTCGGTGGTTCTGTTGTAGAGCATCGGCATGTGTGCTGACACGCCACTGATCCAGCTGTGACATGAGGGCACACAACCTGAGAGCACCGTCATGAGCAGTCTCACTGGCTGGCACCTGGTTATGCAGCACATGGCTGTACCGTATTTTCACATTAAAAAAATACCACCAACAACAAAAACACTCCCAACCCTGCAGCTTTTCCCTGGCTTTCAGACAGGCGTCCCCAAATCGCCCGTCCTCACTCCCCTAAATATCAGTGTGCAGACACCTGAGGTTCGAACAGGCCAACTAGGAGGAAACAAGAGTTCTAAGTATTTCTGACCCCAGGTCACAGTGAAGGAATCTGGAACCATCGGAACACAGAGTGCGTCCTCGCTTACCTACCTAGGATCCATTCCCAGCAGAGTCCTGTAAGAGGCAGGCAAGCTCTCAGCTCCACTCTCCAGTGAGGACCAGACCGCAACGCCTCTGCCCACAGCCTCTGAGCCCCAGCTGACCTCGCCCCTGCCCCTCACCAGCCTCAGCTCCGTGACTCCGCCTCTCCCTCCAGCCACATGTGGTTCTGTTCTTTAATAATAAACTTGAATTCTGTAAAAGTTACCTTATTCCTTTGTTTGTACCGGCCCTGCTTCCTGAATGCTCTTCCTGCAGATCTTTGTATGGCCGGCTCCCTGCTTTCCCAGGGCTAGGGTCAAATGTCTTTTCCAGAAAGGCCTCCCTGACCCACAGGACTGAAAGCAGCCTTGCCGCTGTGGCATGTTACTGTCTTCATAGCACTCATCACCATCTTATTTCCGGATTATCTGCCTCTGCTTCCTTACCAATAGAAGTTCGAAAAGATGGCAGACCTTGTCCATCTGTTCACTGCTAAAGGACAGTCCGTGGAGCACAGGAGAAAACTCACGAGTACATGCGTGAATAGATAGCAGACTCAGTTACCTTTCTGGAATCCTAATCATATTGCAAACAAAACCAGTGCTGAGATTTCCCAATGACCTGGGTGCAGTAATAAGTTGAGAACACAATCCAGGGTCCGGCAGACTTCCTGGGCAGTTTATCCACAAGACACAAACCTACACGATGCTAATCTAGAAGACAGGAAGTGATCTCTGGTGATGAGTCTGAAAGACCACGAGGTCAGGACAGGAGGACATCTGCAAGGGTCAGAACTATGCTATTTTGGACAAAGGTAAAAATAACAGCGGCAGCGTAACCAGTCCCTCCGCCGCCGCGGGTTGGCTGAGGGCTGCTCACAGAGCCTCAGGCGTGCTGGCTCACCAAGTCTGCCCAGCACTGCCTCCATCTCCACAGGCGAGAGAACTCAAACACAGAGAGAAGGACCTGTGCCTAGCCACACCGGAGGCCAATGTGGATGACCAGGGCGTCTGCTGCAGAGTCCCTGCTTCTGACCATCACACCACATCAGCTTGCCAAGAGGGACAGCTTCATTTACCAGCACTTTGTAGGTGCAGAGCTCTCTCCCAGTCACCTGACTCTAGCAGGTCCACGCGACAATGACCTGTTCCTCCTGATACGGGAGCTGAGGTCACACCCATTTGCCTGGGTCACAGGAGAGTCAGGTTTTAACCCGGGCAGTCTGGCTCCAGAATTCACACTGGCACCCACTGCTCCGCACCTCGCTTCTGGAGGTTCACGTGGATTTGCTATCAGAGGAGAGCACAGCTGAGTCTGACAAGGTACCCTGGGACCCCTTTGGGCACGTGTTCCTTCAGAACCCCCCTCCCACCCTGCCTGCCGTGTTTTCACCCCCTGGTCTCCACGGGGATTCTGTATCACGAGTCAAAGGCATGTCGCCCTCACTCTAGACAAGAAACCGTGAATTCTTGAATCAAACTGTGAATCCAGTTTCGAACTCCAGGATGGCAAGACTGCACAGCAGCATCTTCCAGAAAAGCAAGCGACCACAATCAAGCAGAAAGGAAACGGGAAGCAGGGCTCCGAGGCCTCTGTGAGGAACTAGCGCAGAAAAGTATCTCCCGCGGGGGCCGGAAGCAAGAACGTGTGGGGGGGGGGGGGCTAATCCAACTGGCAGCTACACGTGAACTAAACTCCCCGATGGCCTGGGGCTGACACATGAACAAGACAGTTGCAGAACCGGCCATTGCCTTAAATGCTCGCTCACCAAGCGGTTTCAACTGCATAGAGACGATTCTCCTCACAAGTGTCCCTAAGTCCATGACGTGTTTGATGGAGATAAATGAATAAACAGAAGTCTGCCTTGGAGCGATGTAAGCAAGTCTATCTTCGCAGCCTCAAGATTCTGGGGCAGGTGTCTGACACAGCGGTTAGGGTGCCAGTTACCACGTCGCACCCCACGGCAACGTCCCAGCCCTGGCTCCTGACTCGAGCTTCCTGTTAATGCACACCCTGGGAGGCAGCAGGTGACGGTTCAAGTAGCTGTGACCCTGGCAGCCACATGGGAGACCTAGACCAAGTTCCTGGCTTCCGACTTCCACTAGGCCTTGCCCAGACCCAGTCCTTGTGGGCAAATCGGGAGTGAACTAGTGGGTGGGGGAGCACACTTTCTCTTTCTGTCTCTCCCTCCCAAATAACACCATGGAAGTGCGCTTCAGAACACTGCTGTGCACAACGTGGAGATTTGTCCTCCAAGCGCTGGACCCTGCAGGCGTGCAGAGTCCAGCCGGCTGCAGAAATCCAGCAGCGCTCACGACGCCTCACGAAGGTGCCCGGCGTGCGCTCGGCCACCTCGCCACCAGCCCAAACACAGGACTTCCCTCTTCCTCCGTCTCCACACGTAACGTCTCCAAAGAAAACTGTCTGAGGGAGACACATGTCCTGAATAATGCTGAGGGCAAAGCACAGGCAAGCCGGGGCTGCGCCCGCGCTGAACACCGTGCGCGGAACCACCACAGCTATCCACGGTCTCTTACACTTGGAAACACTCTGCCGCCAGACAGCCGCGGCACCCCGCACGCGGGCGGCGGGAAGCAGATGCCGCACACCGGGCTGGCTCACCAGGGTCTGCGAAGATGCGGGCTGTGATCACTCAGCGCCACCCGGATGCCTCGATTCCCCATCGTACCCGAGGCAGTGACAACCATGTACTAACAACGCAGCAGCTCGGGTGTGCAGCTGAACCACAGCTCGCGTGGCCCTTGCAAAGTCTGCGGAATCCGAAGCCCCTGCCAATCACAGCCGAGGGCGGTGAGGAGGGAGAGGCGCCCGGGGCAGCTGGCGGGGGCCGGCCCTCCCCGGTTACCTTCAACGTCTTGTAGTAGATGGCTCTGTTGATCTCCAGCGGAAACAAGTTCTGCTCGGCGCCCGAGCAAGCCCAGTTCACGTAGCGCAGCCAGTTGCCCTTCTCCGGGTCGGTGGCGTCGATGCACATCCATCCCAGGTTCGGATAGTACACCTGGGGAGGGGACGCTTGGGTTAAAAGAAGAGCATCTAAAATGTCCCGTCTTCAGCTTTGAGACAGTTCTCACTATCTGCAAACGCTCTTTAAAGCAGTTCCTATGGGGCCAGCGCTGTGGCGGGGCAGGGGATCTGGGCCCACCGACCACACGGTGAACACGTGTCCTGAGCTGCCGTGTGAGTTTGCCATGCTTTTGCAAACTCGGCTGACCCTTAATACCTCAGGACAGGGTGCCATGGATACAATCTGGGAAACGTCAGTACCATTCCTAAGCAAAGACCCAAACCCAAGCCCCTCTTTGCAGAGTCAGAGCAAACCTCCTCCTGCAGGGAGCTGCTCCTGGCCACCCAGACTCAAGTCAACTCCTCCCCACGCGCCCCCTCCCCCCATGCTGCCGCCCTCATTTAGCATCCTTGCATCCAGTTAGCAATGGTTTTTGACCGGAGCTTTGTGTACACATAAATAGGATTTATTTTTCCCAAACTAAACTGCAAAAACACCCAAGTAGGCACTGAAACAAATGCAGAATCAATCGGTGAAGATTCACGTGCTGAGCAAATGAAATTCGCCTTTTACTTTGTTTCAGAAAAAAAGGGGGAAAAAAACTCTGTCTACCTCCCCCACCAAACACACGCGCACGCACGCGTGTACACACACACACACACACACACACACACAGCCTGGCTCTCCACACTCCAATGGCTTTCCTCCTGGACCCACACAGGCCACCCTTCCTGTGGAACAAGCTCGCGCTCCTGGGCTGAGAGTGAAGACGCTGCTCTCTGGGCACGCTGGCTCCCCAAGCCCGGGACTGCCACGTGTGGCCTCCACCTTCCTGGCACCACCACTGCCTTCTCTTGTGGGGAGCTTTGGGGTATGATGCTGCATGTTTTATATATTATCTGGTGTAATCTGGGCAGCAGGTTTAGTATTCCATCTATTTTCTTTTCCTTTTTTTTTTTAAAGATTTATTTTATTTTATTTATATGAAAGTCAGAGTTACAGAGAGAGGGAGAGACAGAGAGGTCTTCCATCCAGTGGTTCACTCCCCAGATGGCTGCAATGGCCGGAGCTGTGCCAATACAAAGCCAGGAGCCAGAAGCCTCTTCCAGGTCTCCCATGTGGGTGCAGGGGCCCAAGCACTAAGGCCATCTTCCACTGCTTTCCCAGGCCATAGCAGAGAGCTGGATCAGAAGAGGAGCAGCAGGGACTAGAACTGGCACCCATACGGGATGCCGGCTCCTCAGGCCAGGGCTTTAACCCACTGTACCACAGTGCCAGCCCCATTCCATCTATTTTCAACATGGCAAAATGAGGTTCAGAGGTTAAAGGACTTTCCTTTCCAAGTCACCTACTTAATCACACCACTACTCATCGGGCCCCTCCTGAGCACTCCAGCAAGAACAGCCAAGCCGGGCCCTCACTCCCTTCCTTCCTCACAGCACTGGGGCGGCTCTAACACACAGTCTCACCAGTGGACCTGCTCTGCGCAGGGCACTGGTAGCTCCACCAGAAGACAACTGGCCTTCTCACACACTGACCGCCTCCAACGCCTTGCCGAAGCCTGGCATAAAGCAGGCTAACAACAAAAAACCATGGCATGAATGCATGGAACCAGCATGTGAGGAGCACCTGCTGTGTGACAGGTGCACACCTGCCGTGTGACAGGTACACACATACAGAGTGTGCCCACTACTGCCTCAGCACCTCCTGTGGTTTATTAAAAAACTGGTGGGCAACGGGCACTTGTCCTACCGGTTAAGGCAACCTCAACTCACATTGGAGTGCCCAGGTTCAGTGCCCAGCTCCAGACTCCAGCTTCCCGCTAATGTGCACGCTAGGAGGGAACAGGTAACAACTCAGGTGGGACCTGGACCTTCTGGCTTCAGCCTGGCCCAGTCCTATTTATTGGGCATCTGGGGAATTAATCAGCAAATGAGTGTGCTCTTGTACTCTTTCTCCCTCTCAAATTGAAGATAAAACAGGGGAGCCAGTGCTGTGGCATAGTAGGTAAAGCCACCATCAGCAGTGCCAGCATTCCATATGGGTGTTGGTTCAAGTCCCAGTTGCTCTACTTCCAATCCAGCTCTCTGCTATGGCCTGGGAAAGCAGTACAAGATGGCCCAAGTTCTTGGGCCCCTGCACCCATGCAGGAGACCTGGAAGAATTTCCTGGCTCTTAGTTTCAGATTGGCAAGCATTGTGGCTATCTGGGGAGTGAACCAGCAGATGAAGACCTCTCTCTCTCTCTCTCTCTCTCTCTCTCTGCCTCCGCCTCTCTGTAACTCTGCCTTTCAAATAAATAAATACATCTTTAAAAAAGAAAAGAAAATAGAATGTTTAAGGGCTATTTCCGTCATGTTTGTCAGCATAGCAAAATAAGGAGAATGGACAACACGCCCCTGGAACCCTGCCCACCCACCGTTCCTACTTTGTAGCACCACATGCAGGCTATCCTTCCCCATCCCAATATAAACTGCCGCCGGACTCTGGGGTAACAAGCCTCACGTTGCTGCGTCTTGGGGGGCGGCAGGGTCCCACCTGCTCCCCATCCGCACACTGGCCAGGCTGCCAGGGAAACCTGGAGCTGCAGCAGGCAGCCAGAGTGGGGCTGCCTCCGAGCAGCAGTGCAGCCTGAGCTGCAGCCCCCTGGTGCTCTGGTCAGCCTGAACCTTTGCAGGAAGCAAAGCGCTCCAGCTGAGCCAATTCCTCATGCACGCACAGCTCCCTTTGCTTCAAAGGGGACTAAGGAATCTCCTAGGCCAGACTGAACTGCAAAAGCAAAATATTCTTTTGTTTTATTAAAAAAATGAACACTTCTTTAAAATAGACTAACAAGTAATTAATTCACAAAAGAATACAAGTACCCAAAACCTCAAGAACACACGGACACACACGGACACACACACACACACACACAGCTTGGGTAAGGCAGTAAAATGACCACTTGGGAAACACACATCCCATGTGGGAGGGCCTGGACTGAATCTCAGCTACTATGCTTCAGAGCCAGCTTCTTGCTGTTACTTCACACCCATGGCAAGTTCTTGGGTCCCTGCCACCCACATGGGAGACCTGAATTGAGCTCCAGGCTCCTAGCTTCAGCCTCGCTCAGTGCCGGCTGTTGTGGGCATTTGAGAATGAATCACTGGATGGAGAAAGAGAGATCCTTTATTTGCCTTCAAATTAAAATGAAAATAATTTTTTAAATATATTAAACTTAATAAAACTTCAAATTAAAACTACTTTCTATTAAATTAGCAAAAAAGTTTGTTATTGAAAAGGAAAAAATGGGAAGAGTATGGGAAACAAGACTCCCCCAAACGCTGCTGATCAGAGAACAAACTGGTATAAAGGTTTTGGATGGAATTTAGAAGAATCTGACCAAGAAAGTCTCTAACACACGCATATACTTCAGCCATCATGTGGGATGTACTCTGATGAGACGACAGGGCAGTTGTACCGGATGTGTGAACAAAGATGTTCACAGTAGTGGGACTTACTGAGACTGATGCCGGTCCACATCCACACAATAACAGAGGCAGCTCAGTGAGTGACGGCCCCTCCTTGCAGCAAAGACTAAGGCTCTGAAAAGCACTATTGGGGCTGGCGCCGTGACGCAGTGGGTTAATGCCCTGGCCTGAAGCGCCAGCATCCCATATGGGTGCCAGTTCAAGATCCGGCTGCTCCACTTCCTGTCCAGATCTCTGCTATGGCCTGGGAAAGCAGTGGAAGATAGCTAAACCCCTTGGGTCCCTGCATCCATGTGGAAGACCGGGAGGAAGCTCCTGGCTCCTGATTGGCACAGCTCCGGCCATTGCAGCCAATTGGGGAGTGAACCATCGGATGGAAGACACCCCCCCCCGTAATGCTTTCAAATAAATAAATAAATATTAAAAAGAATAAAAAAGAAAAGCACTGTTGTGTGAACAGTGGGCAGGTGATGTGCTAACTTCTGTTTCTGTTAGATGGTTCTCCATCACCTGAGAATTTTATCTCTATAATTAAGAGAGAAAAGTACAGCCATTTATGGCATTATTCAGAATTTATGAATGACTGAACAAAGCCATTTATAGAAATACAGGCAGATATGGTATCATTTTTGTTTTACATATAGGAACATTAAAGAGAAACATAATCTGAACCTAAATATATGAAAATGTCAATAGTGGTTTTCTCTAAAAAGCAGGGTAACCCATAACTCTTTTCCCTTCATTTATGTGAACTTCCTACCTTCGTGCCACACAGCACAAAAACGAGGCTGCTGGAAGAACAGCCTTTTGAATAAAAGCTGGAGTCTGAGTGACAGCAGCCAGTCTGCCGAACACTGCACTGAAGGCCCTCATCACACACGCGTGCCATTTGCAAAGCACGGAACTGTCGCATTTTCCTGTGAGTGTACCCGTAAACACAGGAACTCGGGTGGGGATGTGATTTTACACAATTCCCTTCATAGGTGTCAAACCTCGGTTCCCAATCAAATTAATTTCAGTGACTGAGACACAGAACCTGTCTCCAAATGTGATGAAAGTTTGCTTAATCTAGCAAAACTCACTAGACCTCAAAGGCGCCAGTCCCAGTCTCTCCCTCTCAGACAAGGCAAAGGCAGGTAAACCTCCGACCTGGGCCCAAACCCAGGAAACGACACACCTGAGAAACCCACTTCCAGATCTTCATGAGGACCAGGAAACGCTGAGCTGACGTGACCCCAAGGAGCACTGTTACACCTGATCCACCATTCTCCTGACCCACTCGAGAGAACAGCCCCTCTAACAAAGCAAGGTGGCGGTGACAATATAACACTGTGAAATACCCTCGCTAGTGAACTCACTTTCAGACACATTCTAGAAAGAGCCGAAAAAGGGAAGCACCAGCATACCGAGCCCTGGGCTACGCACTTTACATGCTGTTTTGGTTAACCTTTGTAACAATCTGAAAAATGATTATGAAATATTATTAAGCCCATTTCATAAAAGAGGAAACCTAGGAAAGGTTGAT